TGTCAGGCCCGCAGTGAATCCCGTGTCGAAACTTGTATGTGAATCGTGCAGAATGGCTTCGATCCGTAGACTATGTTTCAAACGTGTACTATGTAGACGGCTCAGCCTGGCCGGTTTAAACTACGGGTAAAGAACAGCAACAGAGCTGGCCTATCACGTCCACGCACGGCGTGGCGAGCACGTGTCGGTGATTGACAGTTGCCGAGTTTACGATGTTTCTGACAACGGGCCCCTGGTCATTATATAATATATAGCAGATTATATGGTCAATACGTGACGTTTACCTTGTATACAGGCGAATGCGAGCGACTTCATCAGCACACAGTCGTGACATGATTGATCATCGTAGAATGGTTCCAAAATGCATGATATGATGAGCGACCGCCGTCGTGTTGTCAGGCCCGCAGTGAATCCCGTGTCGAAACTTGTATGTGAATCGTGCAGAATGGCTTCGATCGTATTTGAATCCTGTAGAAACACATGTGAATCCCGTGTGGCTCGGCCTGGCCGGTTTAGAGTACGGGTAAAGAACAGCAACAGAGCTGGCCTATCACGTCCACGCACGGCGTGGCGAGCACGTGTCGGTGATTGGCAGTTGCCGTAGGCGTGTCTCGACAGAAAACGTTTAAATTCCGTTTTTGACGGCTATAGGACGCGCGCACATTAGCCAACAAAGTTATAGGGGGTATTTCGAGCCGTGCCCCATCTTCGTGGCTACTCAAAACGCTCGTGCTATGAACAGAACTCTCGGTTTTGGTTTTCCCGATCATCTTCCCTTATACCTAAAGGTACTCGTTGAGTATTCTGAAAGTGCAGGTTAGTTGTTTTGGCGGCCACTACGTGGCGTGGTCGTGCTGGTGCACGAGGATCGGCTGCGAGACGTCTAGGCTATGAAAAATGGAAAAAAAATATGGAACCCAAAATGACCAAAAAAACTTTTTGGTCGCGGCTATTTTCGTGGGTCAATCGGAGGACAGCAAACATAATTTTTTAAGGATGGCGTCACTGTCAGTGTGTGTCTCCGTGCGTGCGTACGTGCGTGTGACGGTTTGTGTGCGTGTGTGTCCGTGTGACGGTGTGTGTGTGTGCGTGCGTGCGTTCGTGCGTGCGTGCGTGCGCGCGTGTGTGTGTGTGTGTGTGTGTGTGTGCGTGCGTGCGTGCGTGCGTGCGTGCGTGCGTGCGTGCGTGCGTGCGTGTGTGTATGTGGTGAGTGGGTGTGTGTGTGTGTGTGTATGCCTGCCTGCCTGCCTGTCTGTCTGTCTGTCTGTGTATGTGTGCGTGCGTGTGTGCGGGCTGGCGCGCGTGTGTGCGTGCGAGTGTGAGGATGCGTGCGCATGTGCATGTTCCACATGATGTGGCCGGTGTGCGTGCTGGAGTAGAGTTTTCTTGTTCAACTTGGACTGTTTCTGATTAGCGACTTTTTTAAGAATATATTAATGTATACCTCTATTGACATAGTACCATTCATATCACTATATCGCAAGAGAAAGGGTGAGAAGGATATATCGGTAACACTGGGGTGGGTGTATAGTGAGACAACTGTCATATCCTTATTTTGTTGCCGGTATCATCGCGAGAATGTATCTTGAACATGAAATTCTTTATATTTCAGGCGAAAGTTGAATCTTCTATTGGTGCTCTCTATGGTTGGTTTAGAAATGCATCTAGTTTAGATTCTGAGTAAGTCTCATCATGTCCTTCAATCTCTTTACTGTCATGTGTGCAATTTTAAAATCCTAAAATGGCACTTATCGCCGTATAATAGAAAATGAATTTGTAGACATTGAATTGAACTTGTCATGTATAATCGTAGCATGTGAACATCTTTTTTTAAATTTTTAGGACATTGGAACTGCTAAGAAAGAAACACAATCATTTTCTCAATAAAGGGTTGTCAGACCTACCCGAGTCATACGAAGTAAGGGTATTATCAGTGTTTGTTAAATGGAATGTCTCGTGATATAATTGCAACTAAAATACTAGTTACTACTGCTACTATTTGGTAAATACATTAAGTGCAAGCACTAAAGCAGGCTCAGTGATCCAGCTAGTTTATCATATTTGTTAGTTCACTCTTCTCTAATCACCTCACATAGATTTGTATATAATCGTTGGCATTTGCTTGCCAGTGTTTGGATGCAAGCAGGCCTTGGATGTGTTACTGGATACTTCATAGTTTGCTACTGTTGGATGAACCGATCTCTGATGAAATAAAATCAAGGTAAACCAGTGGTTTTATGTTCACGAACTCGGTTAATTATAGCTATAGATCAACCTGTCTAAGATGTTGATCACTTGTGTGTTATGGCATTTATAAAAATCACAGTTTGTATATATTCCCATCACACATTTATTATACCTTCGTTATCTTATATTAACCTTAAACCATATAAATCGGAATTAATTTAGTATTAGTTTTTGAAATCGCTGACTCATTTCATGCTTAGATTCATAATCATAGAGGTCTGAGCTGCTCTTGGTGCTACCTACTAGAGAGTTAACTCAAGTTGCATTCGAAGTAGGAGGGAATTTGTGTTTGATAAAGAGTCGAATTTTTTCTGCTTTGTTTGAGTCAAAGTTCTGAAAAACCGATGTCTATACAGTGTAGCACAGTTTCTTGGAAAGTGTCAGAACCCTGATGGTGGATATGGAGGCGGGCCAGGGCAATTATCACACCTAGCTCCCACGTATGCTGCTGTCAACGCTCTATGCATTCTTGGCACGGAGGAAGCATTTAAAATCATTAATAGGTACTGTGTATGAATATAGCTAGAAGCGGAGTGTAGATATTGGTGATATTATACAAAATTCTCCTGCTGTTACCAAATCTACTGAAAACTAGCGAGCATGTTTTACTGCTAATGATCCTAAACAAATGTGCATATCATTCTGTAAATCATATGGGATTTGAAAAATTATATACATTATCAGAAGCAAGCATTATTTTCTATTATTGACGATGTCGCTTTAATGTAGGGAGACACTGCAGACATTTCTACTAAAGATGAGAATGCCAGATGGAGGTTTTGCCATGCATGAAGATGGGGAAGCCGATGTCAGGTCAGTTATGAATGAAACTGGTTATTTGTGCCCAGGTTTTGTGGATTATTCATAATGTTAGTCTGCATGATAATAGAAGGAACTGCACATGTAAGCACAATAGAAAGTTTTCGTAAAATGTTAGAAAGGGTGTAATAACAAAATATTAAATAGTAAAGGGTGTAATATAAACTGTAATATGAATTGCACCACTTCAAAATTTGGGGAAATTGTTTCAATTTCTACCAATCAGAACCCCTCTTTCATCAGATACTGCTGTTAGACTTGTCAACTTTCTCCTCCATAAAATTTATTAGCGAACGTTCAATGTGCCAGGTTTTAAGTGCCAAGGGGGAGGGGTACGTACCCCTCCTTTAATGTGTGTGTTTTGGTCGTTTCAGAGGAGCCTACTGTTGTGCAGCGATCGCCACGCTCATAAACATAGCAACGCAGGACATCTTCAAAGGAACGCCAGAGTGGATTGTGAGGTACGACTGAAATTGCATGTGCAATCGCGTAATTTTACGTCATTTCGCGGTTTAGTAGGCCGTCATTTCGCGGTTTAGTAGGCCGTCATTTCGTGTCATTTCGCGGTTTAGTACTAGTAGTAGTAGGTACCGTCAGGCAATAGTAAACTCAGTATTCAGTACATCGAACACACTTACTACTTAGCACTATACAGATACACTATACTATAGTATAACTTGTGAGTACACCCGTGCACTGATCAGACTGATGGCATACTCTAGACTGGTTTCCTTGCTTCTCGTTACGCAGCATCACAGAATACATATATGGTGGCAATCACCTTGCACTTGCAGTTGCAGCACCTCGGCCTACAATACGGGCTGGAACTGGGCCGGTATGTAGACTCCAGCCATGACCACCTGTCGTGCTACGATTAACTGTCCTAGCAGTGGCTGCTTTACCGATGGCAAACCAATCGTCTATGTGCTCGAGCGACAATTCTTCACATAACCTGCTCATATTTACATGCTTAAAATAAATAACGTGAGTATGATAAAACGTTTAAACGTATCAGAATGAGAACTCTAACCAGAAGTTGTACCGGAAACAAGTGGCGCAGACCTGCGCAGACGACCGTATATGTGTAGCATCGGTTTATATCGTAGAATTCATATATAATATTGTTCATATTTATACGTTATTTATATTTCAACTTTTTAAAAATGATTAAGAACCAAACAAACAAAGGATTTTGTAAAATATTGAACGAATCTTTACATAAAGAACCTGAATCACCACTTGTTGTTGTACGAGTACACACGGCTAAAAAATTCCCCATGACATTGATAGCTTGGGGAATCCGATTCTGTATGAATTGTTATTGCACGTGATTACATGATTTTTATTTTTTGGTATCAACGCGAACCATAACGAGATACGGGCAGAGGAGATGTCAACTTCACAATCGCTGAGATGCCTGTGGGTGAATTTACCACATGAAAAGTGCAAAGACGATGGATGTTCATCACATAGTTACGTGGAACAGGTGAGCCGTGAGCCGGTGTCGGTGAGGTGTGTCACTGTGACTCTCTGTCTCTGTGTCAGTCAGTGTGACTGTCACTGTGTGTGTGACAGTGTCACTGTCACTCAGACTCAGGCCATCCTTAAAAAATTCGGCCCAAGGATAGAGAACATGGGTCCCAATAAAACCAATGTGCCTAAACCTAACCCTAACCCTAATTCTAACCCTAACTCTAACCCCAACCCTAATCCTAACCCTAACCCTAACCATAACCCTAACCATAACCCTAACCTATTATATTGATGTAATATTATATTTATATTGATGTAAATGACATTGGTTTTATTGGGACCCATGTTCTCTATCCTTGAACCAAAAATTCTATGTTTGCTGTCCCCCCGACCCATGATTTTTTTAGTGGGTAGGTAGGTAGGTCTTTTTTTGTGAGGCATAATAGTTATTTTAAGTTTGTCTTCATGTTTGCCACACATGCTTTGTGTTTTAGTCTTAACTACTATTACTAACTACTGAACCAGATGAGACGGGATACTAGAGAAGCGTTGCCGAAAGGAGATGTTGATCCGAAGCGCTTAAGCGCAGATCTTGCGCACAGTTCCGGCGGCAAGGCGCACGCGACCGCCGGGAACGTCCTACGACAGTATGCAGCGCTGGCAGCTATGGATCCTTGCGCCGAATGAATTGGCCGGGCGGCACGGATCCATAGCTGCCAGCGAACAGTCCGCAATTTTAGTGGGGGACACAGAGGGTAGACATTTGGACGCGAACAGTGGTTCACTTGTTTATAAAAACATAATTTCTCTCTTCGTAACCGAGCTGTGTGATGCCGAAATCACAGAAAGACTGACGAAATTCCGCGTTCGTGAACCTTGCCCAGTAATGGAAATGGGCTGCAAGGACAAAGGCCTATATAGACTGGGACTCGCTCCCAACCTCGATTACCATCGAGTGACTAAGCTAAGCCGGCAACACGTAGCAATACATGCCACAAACGCGCACAAACACACATACATCGCACATACATCGTTATATCGTTAGGACTCTAGGCTATAGGCAGTAAAAATAACCTGTATATAAATATAATTGGAACATTCAGCCTCATGCAGGTTTATTCCATTTCTGTATTACATGAGCGCATTATGAATTACTTGTAATAGTGGTTAATTTACGCGTCGCCAGTACACTTACTAGTTACTAACCTTAGCTATATCAGTCTATGGACTCAGTATACAGCAAGTGCCGTACACTAGAACTACTTGCAAGTACAACTTCCTGTCACTATTGATATTGATAGTAATGTAAATATACCCGACAAGACTGTACATATGAGTGTATGACTGCAGTAGTCTGCACTGCAAGATCAATGGCTCACTGCAAGATCATAGATTCGACTAGCTCCAGAAACGGTATTGCTAGGGTTAGAATACTAGGGTGTATTGACGTTAGTTCACACAGCCTGGTCGGTTAAGATTCGACATAACACGGCTACCGGACCACCGCCCGGTATGTAAACAAATTTATAATCTGCATCTACGCGTTGTTACATACTTATTTATATCGTTAGTCTGCCAGTAACAAAATTCGACTTTCCTTTTAATTAGATGACCTCCGATGAAAAAAAATGCCAGTTGCAGCTCGTCATTATTTAACGAATCAAACGACGCAACAATATAGAAACTTTCCTATGGTTTATGAACATAGACCAGAGACGCTCATGCTATCAATCCATGTGCATATAGACTGGTACCCGTACGTTCACACATCCGTATCGCGGCGTACACTGCGTGAGTGTAGCGATATGCCGGAGTAAAGGTGGCGAACGGGTACCAGATCTACTATGCTATAAATCTCGGCGTTCGTTGCGCCGTCTATGCACAGCCCATATGTACTACACTCATCAACACAAACAACACAAAGAAGAAAGTGCAAATTCGTTTTTTACAGCAAAACGAGCGCGCCGAGTCGCCAAAAAACTTATACGAGCATTTCAAGCAAATCTCAAGCTACATGGGTAGTGAAATCGGTCGTCAATCGGCAGAACTGCTCAACTCAGCGAACTTGCTGCTTGCCTTATATATGTAACCGTTGAAGGTGATGGAATGGGAGGCAGCGAAATCGTGTTAGAAGCCGCCAGGGCGGCGTTGTGGCGCTTCGCGCGGATATCCGCTGCCAGACTGTCCAGAGGAGAGACCGGATACTAGAAGGCGATGCGCAAAGGAAGCATTTCTGACCGCCGAGCGGCGATGTTGCGCGCAGTTCCGCGGCAAGGCGCACGCGACCGGCGGAACGTGCTACGATTAGTATCGGGGTGCTGGCAGCTGTGCATCCGTGCGCCAAATCCATAGCCGGCGCACGATGCATGGCACCCAGCGAACAGTCACGATAAATTTGTGAAGACTAGTGGTGCATCTATCGGACGGCATATGTGCGAGACGAGTGTGGGTGGGGGAGGGGAGATGTGGGTCGGCGCACGGATGCATAGCTTATAGCAAACACTGTCGAATTTGGGGGAATAGGGGGAAGTGTAACCCTCCTTGGGGAGAGCTGCATTTCTTGGGTGGCAAATTTGAGGCGTTTTGGGGTTTGGGGGAGGGATAGGGGGCGTTTCTAGGGGGGTGGAAGGGGGATTTTGGGTTTTTTGGGGGTTGGTGGGGGGCCTTGTGTTCATAGCTCCCAGCGAACAGTGTCGAATTTTTTTTGGGGGGAGGGGGGAGTTTGGGAGGGGGAATGAGTTATTGGGGGTGTCCCCCTTGGGGGTTATTTGGGGTGCATTTCTGGAAGGGGCATTTCTGGGAGCATTTTGGGCGGGGGAAACTCGGGTTATGGGGGGCCCATTCCTAGGACGGGGGAATTTGTCAGTGGGGGGGGGGTAATTTGGGGTGTTTTGGGGGTGGGGGAACCCCCAAGGGGGATTTGGGGGCGGCCATTACTAGGAGGGGGAAGGAGGGGCAGATTTTGTTTTTTTGGGAGTTGGGGAGGGTGGGAGTGGTGGATTTTTTTGGGTGGGTCTTTAGGGTTGGGTTCGGCATATGTCCTGACTCATGTGGGGCACGTTGCTAACGGGCCATAGAGCCGAGGCCGGCGCAGGCGTACGTGTTTTCTGTGTGTGGCGTGTGTGTGCGTGTGCGTGTGCGTGTGTGTGAAGTGTGTCAGCTGGTGTGGTGCGAGTAGGTGTGCGGTTTTGTGTGTCACGCGTGTGTGCGTGTGCGTGTGGCGTGTGCAGTTGTGTCAGCTGTGTGTGGCGTGTGCGTGTGGCGTGGCATGTGAGTTGCGTGTGCGGTGCGTCTGCGTGGCATGTGCGTCGTTAGCATGGCTTGTGCGTGCGTGTTTGTGTGTGCGTGTGCTGTGCGTCCATCCTGAGTGTGGCCACTGCGTGTGCGTGTGGCGTGGCGTGGCGTGTGCGTGTGCGTGTGCGTGTGAGTGTGTTCACTGTGTGTGGGCGAGTGCGTGTGGTGTGCGTGTTTGTGTGTCACCGTGTGTTCGTCGTCGTGTGGCGGTCAGTGTGTCTCTGTGTTAGGTGTGGCGGTGCATGTGAGTGCGGTGGTGCGTGTGGCGTGGCATGTGCGTAGTGCGTGGCGTGTTTGTGTGTGCGGTGCGTAGTGCGTCCGAGTGGTCCACTGCGTGTGCGTGTGCGTGTGCGTGTGCGTGTGCGTGTGACGTGTGCGTGTGCGTGTCGTGTGACGTACGTGCGTGCGTGTGAGCGGCTGTGCGTTGTTGTTGTGTCCTTGTGTGGTGCGTGTGTGTGCGTGTGCGTGTGCGTATGCGTGCGTGTGTGCGTGAGTGTGTCATCTGGTGTGTGGCGAGTGCGTGTGCGTGTGCGTGCGTGCGCGTTGCGTTGGCGGTGTGCGCGCAGTCGTGTTTGTGTGTAAGCGTCGTCGCATGCGTGTGTCACTGTCGTGTACGAGTGCGAGTGCGTGTGGCGTGTTGTTGTGTCCACCGTGTGTTGCGTTGTGCGTGTACGTTGTGCCGTGATGCGTGTGAGTGTGCGTGCGTGCATGTGCGTGTGCGTCGCGCGTGAGTGTGTCACTCGTGTTGCAAAGAGTGGCGTGTGGCGTGTGCCGTTGTGATTGGGTGTCACTCGTGTGTCGCGTGTGCGTGTACGTGCGTGCGTGCGTGCCGTGCGTGTTTGTGTGACTTTGTGTGAGCGTGTGCTGTGCCGTGTGCGGTGCGTATGCGCTGTCCGTGTGAGTGTGTCACTGTGGTGTGCGAAGTGCGTGCGAGTGCGTGTTGCGTGTGATGTGTGCGTGTGCGTGGGCGCTATTAGTCGTAAGTGTTATCTTGGCATTAACATTAGCCATTAAGTTTACGATGTTTCTGACACCGGGCCCCTGGTCATTATATAAAAATGCAGATTATATGGCAATACGTGACGTTTACGCCGCTTGTATACAGGCGAATGCGAGCGACTTCATTCATGCACACAGTACGTACATGATTGATCATCGTAGAATGGTTCCGCAAAATGCATGATATGATGAGGCGACCGCCATCGTGCTTGTCAGGCCCGGCAGTGAATTGCCGCAGTGTTCGAAAGCTTAGTATGTGAATCGTGGCAGAAATGGCTTCGATCGTAATTTAAATCCTGTAGAAACACATCTGAATCCCGTGTGGCTCGGCCTGGCCGGTTTAGAAATAGAGTAAGCGGTAAAGAACAGCAACAGAGCTGGCCTATCACGTCCACGCACGGTGGGGTGGCGAGCACGGTCGGTGAATTGCAGTGCCGTAGGCGTGTCTCGACACCGCGAAACGTGTTAAATTCCGATTTTTGAATGACGGGCTATAGGAGGCTGCGCACATTAGCACAACAAAGTATATAGGGGGTATTTCGAGCCGTGCCGCATCTTCGTGGCTACTCAACGCGCCTCGTGTATGAACGAACTCTCGAGTTTTTCGATTTTCGATCGTCCTCCCTTATACCGCTAAGGGACTCGATGAGTGTTCTGAAAGTGCGAGGTTAGTTGTATTGGCGCCGCTGCGGTGCACAGGAGGATCGGCTGCGCAGACTCTAGCGCTATGAAAAATGGAAAAAAAATATGGAACCCAAAATGAACCCAAAAAATTTTGAGTCGGCGGCTATTTTCGTGGGTCAATCGAGGACAGCAAAACATAATTTTTTAAGGATGGGTACTGTCAGTGTGTGTCTCCGGCGTGCGTACGTGCGTGTGAACGTTTGTGGTGCGTGTGTGTCCGTGTGACGGTGTGTGTGTGTGCGTGCGTGCGTTCGTGCGTGCGTGCGTGCGCGGCGCGTGTGTGTGTGTGTGTATGTGGTGAGTGTGTGTGTGTGTGTGTGTGCGTGCGTGCGTGGCGTGCGTGCGTGCGTGCGTGCGTGCCGTTGCGTGCGTGCGTGCCGTCGCGTGGCGCGTGTGTGCTATGTGGTGAGTGGTGTGTGTGGTGTGTGTGTATGGCCTGCCGCCTGCCCTGCTGTCTGTCTGTCTGTGTAATTGTGTCGTGCGTGTGTGCGGGCTGGCGCCGGGAGTGTGTGCGTGGCGAGTGTGCAGGATGGCGTGCGCATGTGCATGTTCACATGATGTGGCCGGTAGTGCGTGTGGAGTAAGAGTTTTCTTGTTCAACTTGGACTGTTTTGATTAGCGACTTTTTTAAGAATATATTAATGTATACCTCTATTGACATAGTACCATTCATAATCACTTGATATCGAAGAGCAAGGGTGAGAAGAATATATCGTAACAACTGGGGTGGGTGTATAGTGAGACAACTGTCATAGTCCTTATTTTTGTGGGCCGGTATCATCGCGAGAATGTATCTTGAACATGAAATTCCTTTATATTTCAGGGAAAGTTGAATTTCTCTATTCGGTGCCTCTATGGTTGGTTTAGAATGCATCTAGTTTACGATTCTGAGTAAGTCTGCATCATGATCCTTCACCAACTCTCTTTACTGTCCATGTTGTGGCAATTTTAAAATCCCTAAAATGGGCACGTATCGCGCGTATAAATACGCAAATGACATTTGTAAGACATTGAATTGAACTTGTCATGTATACTCGTAGCATGTGAACATCTTTTTTTAAACTTTTTAGGACATTGGAAGCTGCTAAGAAAGAAACACAATCATTTTCTCACTAAGGGTTGTCAGAACCTACCCGAGTCATACGAAGTAAGGTATTATAGTGTTGTTAAATGAATGTCTTCGTGAATATAATGCAACTAAAAATACTAGTTACACTGCTACTATTGGTAAATACATTAATGGCAAGGGCACTTAAATGCAGCTCAGTGATCCAGCTACGTTTATCATATTTGTTAGTCACTCTTCTCTAATCTACCGTCACATAGATTTGTTATAATCGTTTGGCATTTCTTGCCCAGTGTTTGATGCAGCAGGCTTGGATGGTGTTACTGATACTTTATCATAGTTTGCTAGCTAGTTGATGAACCGATCTCTGAGAAATAAAATCAAGGGTAAACCAGTGGTTTATGTCAACGAACCTCGTAATTATCAGCTATAGATCAACTGTCTAGAGATGTTGATCACTTGTGTGTTATCGGTCATTTAAAAAATCACAGTTTGTATATATTCCCCCATCCCACAATTTATTATACTTCGTTATCATTATATTACCTTAACCATATAAATCGGAATTAACTTTAGTAATTAGTTTTTGAAATCGCTGACTCATTTCATGCTTAGATTCATATCTAGAGGTCCTGAGCTGCTCTTGTGCTACCGTACTAGAGAGTTAACTCAATTGCAATTCGAAGTGGAGGGAATTTGATGTTTGATAAAAGAGTCGAATTTTTTCTGCTTTGTTTGATCAAAGTTCTGAAAAACGATGTCTATAACAGTGGTAGCACAGTTTTCTGAACGTGTCAGAACCGCTGATGGTGGATTAGGAGGCGGCCAAGGGCATTTCACAACGCTAGCTCGCCACGTATGCTGCTGTCACGCTCTAATGCATCCTTGCACGGAGGAAGCATTTAAAATCATTAAATAGGTACTGTGTAATGAATATAGCTAGAAGCGGAGTGTACTATTGGTGATATATAAATACAAAATTCTCACTGCTGTACCAAATCGACTGAAAACTAGGCGAGGCATGTTTAGCTGGCTAATGATCCTAAACAAAATGTGGCCAATCATTCTGTAAATCACATGGGATTTGAACAAATTATATACATTATCAGAAGCAAGCATTATTTCTATTATGTGAACGATGTCGCTTTAATGTAGGGAGACACTGCAGACATTTCCTACTAAAAGATGAGAATGCAGATGGAGTTTTGCGCCATGCATGAAGATGGGGAAGGCCGATGTCAGGTCAGTTATGAATGAAACCTGGTTATTTGTGGCCGCAGGTTTTGTGGATTATTCATAATGTAGTCTGCATCATAACTAGAAGGAACTGGCACATGTAAGCAGAGATAGAAAGTTTTCGTAAAATGTTTAGAAAGGGTGTATAACAAAATATTAAATAGTAAAGGGTGTAATATAAACTGTAATATGAATTGCACCACTTCAAAATTTGGGGGAAATTGTTTCAATTCTAACAATCAGAACCCCTCTTTCCATCAGATACCTTTTTGGCCCTGTTAGATGCTTGTCAACTTTCCTCGCTCCAGTAAAATTATTAGCGAACGTTCAATGTGCCGGGTTTTAAGTGCGCCAAGGGGGAGGGGTACGTACCCCTCCTTTTAATGTGTGTGTTTTGGTCGTCTTCAGAGGAGCCTACTGTGTGCCGCGTCGCCACGCTCATAATACATAGACAACGCAAGGACATCTCAAAGGAACGCCAGAGTGGATTGCTGAAGGTATCGACTGAAATTGGCCATGTGCAGAGATCAACAGGCGATTACGCAGAAGACCGTGTCCACATTTTCACACAGTGCGCTCGTGTGGTTTCGTCATTCAGATAGTTGATAATTGCATCATCCTTATGCGTACGTGATAAACTACACGTGCTGGTAGTTACGTCATGTACGCGAGATTCGCTCAATCGAATTCGTGAAAGAAAAGCCGCTCTGATTTAGTAATGTAGTATATTACTTGAACTAGTGGTGTTCGCTGATTTAATCGAGTTCATCGATCATCTACTCGTTTGGGCTGCCGAGTTGATTAAATCGCAGTAGAAAATCGGACGACCGAGTACAACTCGAACTTGGCCGTGTTGACATAGTTCTCGCGGCACAGCTCCACTTACGCTGCTCACAAAACCCACTGTGGTGGTTGTAGCGCAAAGTGAGCGGGGCACCAATCGTGTTTTATCTTGTTATTGCATATTGTCCGCACGTTTTTGGTATAAAATATAGACAAACACGTACCAGAGTTGAACATAAACGCAAGGAAATCGTGTATTCGCTATAACGGAAGCGGAAGTCTGGTCGCACATTACATGCCGCTTTATAGGGCCTTGATAAAATGGTCGCAAACACCAAATATTAATAAATAACAAATTATGAAATAAGTGTAGTTATTTTATAGCTATAATTATCTTCGAATCACTTTTAATAGTTTCACCATGTAGGTCTGCTACAGGGTAAATAATAGATAGTACTAAGTACTAGTAAACAGGGTGTGGTGTAATTTTCAAGGCAACTAAGGCGGCCTTGTTTCCTGAAAATCAAGCCTAATCCTAAATTTCCTACATCTTTTCAACTTATTTCCTAAATTAAAGCAATTAAAAAAAACTTCCAGGGACCCTTTTTTAGCTCATCTGACATAGTCAGATGCAGCTTGTAGATTCCGCGCTCTTTTTTGTTAATATTATGAACAACTTATGGTTAAAAGTTTAGGTCCTAACTCTGTGTTTCTAAGAATAACAAAAAAGCATTTTTGTATAAATTCACAATTTTTGCCATCAACTTAATTAGCGATGAATTTTTTAATAATAAAATTTTTATCGGATAGCATAGAGAGACATCTCTCTTACGTAAATGGATATGAGTTTGATTGAATTTGATGAGGGCAGTTATGTTGCACATGCCC